GAGGATGTGTACGCGGAGATTTTGGCCCAGGCGGTGGCTCCTGAGCACGGTCCTGGATGCCATGCTCGAGTCGATAATTGCGCGCAGTCAGATGATGTTCTTGAGATTCCTAATGTTGCCCACGGATCTGCCGCAGCGCTGGCGGGGCACGCGGTCCCCGCTCAGGATCCCCCTCAACCTATTCATGAGCCCGATATCCCATGCTCCTCGGGTTCATCATCTCCTGATCCTGATCTATCGGGGCAAGCTGACGAATTACGGCATCAGGTACTGCCTGCTGGCGCTCCTGCTGGAAATGCTGCGCCTTATCAAGTGGTAGAGACAGACCCAGTGCCGACTGGTGGCGCTGAAGGGCATGCCGCACTTTGTCATGCTGTATTGGGGCTCCGCGGTCACGAACCGTTGGATCAAGCTGAATTCAGGCAGCAGGTTCTCACGATTCAACACGCGCTTGCAGCGGGGGGGTACCGCGTTTCTACTGGGTGCACACTGTGGACACATTCCTCTGCGTGGTGGCGAGGTGGAATGGGACGCGTTAGAACCCAACACGGTGCATGCAGTCAGCCTGTTGGCGCTTGCGATCCGACCTGCAAATCCGAACTTGCTGTATAGATCGGCGACTACCTTGTGCTGGTCTTCGTACTCATTAGCCCTCCAGCATGAACGGCCGCCTGGACATTCGGAGTCCCATCTTGTGACTTTTGCTGAACAGTCGGAACCTCAACGGTTGCAAGCTCTGCGGCTGCTTCACCACTTATTCCCCAAGTTGACGAGAGACAAATACCTCGAGATTGACTGGATGCTTCGTCACCCCGCTGCGTTTCTTCTCCCTGCTGTCGAAGGTCATGGCCTCTATGATCCATATGCAGGAACAGTAGAAGAGGAAGCTGGTGTGGACACTCTCAGCCTGGGCGGAGGCTGCACCCCTTCACTGATTCTCGCTGCCGTATCACATGAGGCTGATGGCGTTCCTGGTGAAAGTGAAGATGATGATCCCTCTGGAGGTGGAGGGGCTGATCTTTCCGCTGATACTCTTGCGGCTCTCCCTGGCGGTGGCGTGCGTCTTCCTCGTGATGGTATGGACCGTGGGTGTTCTGGTCATGCCCAAGTACCTCCAGCAGAAGATGCTGCACCTGATATGGTAGACTCTTGCCACATTGGTGCGGGTGAGTTGGGGCCCATGGATGCTGGCACTGGTCCTGTGGGGCGCCACTCGCATGAAGTTGGTAAGGACGCACTTGGCTCTGGTGGCGATGGCAGTCGCCCATCGATCTCGTCGCTCGTGCCGCAAGGGTCTGGAGATGTTCCCGTTGATGATGAAGATGAAGTTCTCCAAGGAGGTAGCTGCCTCGGTCACGGAGAGGCTGGACATGCCGCTGAAGCTCTTGCACCGTTTTCTGACGGTGGCGAGCACCCACTTCGGGATGGTGTGGATCATGAGGGTTTTGGTCATGTACAAGTACCCCTTGCGGGAGACGCTGCGCTTCAAGGGGTACGCCCTGGACATCGAGGTGCTTCCAACTTCGACAACGACAGCAACGCGGAGCCCTCCGTCGAGGTGGGCATGAGGGCTGGCGATGGCCATCTTGATCTGTATGCTGGAATAGGGGAAGCGGAAGCTGGCATGGATACCCTTGGTGCGGGCAATGGTGGCAGTTTTCCTTCGATGTCAACGGGCTTACCTCGTGCGGATGATGATGTTCTTGCGGAAGGTGAGGGTTATGATCTCCATGGTGCTGGATGCTGCGGCCACGATTACTGCTGACCCTGCCACTGAAGCCCCTGCGCTTCTTCCTGACAGTGGTGTGCCTCCTCCGCGTGCTCGTTTGGACCACGGGCGTTCAGGTCGTGGACAAGTACTACCTGCTGAAGTCGCGGCACATCAAGGTGATGGTGAAGGCCAACAAGGTGAAGCCGGTGGGGACGCCCATAGCTCTGGTGGTAGTGGTTGTCTCCCTTCGACCTCGACTGTGGTACCTCATATGTCGGGTGATGTTCCTGGTGAAGGTGAAGATGATGATCTCCACGAAGGTGGCTGCCTCGTACACGGAGAGGCTGGACATGCTGCTGCGCTTCCTCCTGGCGGTGGTGCGCCTCCTCTTAGTGAATGTGTGGAACTTGTGCGTTCTGATCATGTCCAAGTACCTCTTGTGGAAGACGATGCGCTGCAAGGGGAAGGTCTCGGCCACCAAGTGGTTGCTTCTCTCGACAACGACTTCAACCTGGACCCCTCCATCGAGGCGGACCTGAGGACTGGCCCCGCGGGGGCCGACGGCGGCGGCGGCGCGGCCAGCGCTGCCTAGACAGAGACGCGCCCTTCAGTGGCGTGGGATCCTCCTCCTCCTCCTCCTCCTCCTCGTCCTCCTCATCATCAGCATCATCACCATCATCAGCACCATCATCATCGTCATCAACATCACCATCATCGTCATCATCCGCCCTTTTGCGCATCCTCTCTCCTGCTCTTCGTGACAGACTATAGTTCTGGACGCACCGCGGCAGTGCCGAGGACGCACGGCGGGAGGGCGGCAATGGAGCTGTCCGTGTCCCGCGGAGCTGGCCGAGGGCGGGGGGCTGCAGTCCCAGCGGGCAGGCTCCCTGAGATTGTCGCCTCTTCCGGGCCTGCCGCCAGCAGCGTGCGAGGGAAACCGAGCAGTGGCATCAGGCTCTCTCGCTACCCGTGGAGATGGTGGAGATAATTGCAGAGCCCGGCGTCACCAGCTACGGCGCTGAGGCCAGCGCGTACGTGAAGGGCGATCAGTGGCCGCGGGCTCTTGCGCTGCTGAGCAAGATGCGGCAGGCGAAGGTGCAGCCCGCTACCATCAGCTACAAAGCTGGGATCTACGCGTGCGAGATGGGTGAGCAGTGGCAGTGGGACATGTCACTGCTCGACGAGATGCGGGAGGCGAAGCTGGAGCCCGACGCAATCAGCTACAGCACTGGGATCAAGGCGTGCGAGGGGGGCGAGCAGTGGCACCGCGTCGCTGTCGCTGCTCATCGGGATGCGGGAGTTGAAAGTGGAGCCCGACGTGATCAGCTGCAGCGCTGGCGTCTTCGCCTGCGGCAAAGCCGAGCAGTGGCAGCAGGCGCTGTCGCTGCTCCGGGAGATGTGGGAGGCGGAGTTGGATCCCGACGTCATCGGCTACAACGCTGGGATCAGCACATGCGATCTAGTGGGACAGTGGAAGCAGACGCTGTCGTTGCTCAGCGAGATGCGGGGGGCGAGTTTGGAGCCCGACAGTACCAGCTACAACGCTGCGGTGAACGCATGCAAGAGAGGCGGTCAGTGGCAACGGGCTCTGTTTTTGTTTAGGGAGATTCGGGAAGTGAGCTTAGAACCTGGCGTCATCAACTACCACGCTGGGATGAGCACGTGCAATAAAGGCAGGCAGTAGCAGCGGACCTTATCGCTGCTAGGAGATATGGTGAAGGCGAAGCTTGAGCATGACGTCACGAGCCACAGCATTGGGATCTCAGCGCACGAGAAAGGCAGGCGGCGATGGCAGTGGGCCCCGTCACTTTTCAGCGAGATGCGAGAAGCGAAGCTGGAGCCCACCATCATCAGCTATAACGCTGCAGTTAGCGCGTGCGATAAAAGCCAGTAGTGGTAGCGGGTTGTGTCGCTGCTCAGAGAGATTGGTCAGGCGAAGCTGGAGCCCACCGTCATCAGCTGCATCGTTGGGATCAGCGCGTGCGAGGAGACTGGGCAGTGGCAGCGGGTACTGTCGCTGCTCTGAGAGATTGCGGAGGCGAAGCTGGAGCCCACTGTCATAAGCTACAGCGCTGCGAACAACGCGTGCGAGAAGGGAGGGCAGTGGCATTGGGCGCTGGTGCTGCTCAGCGAGATGCGCAAAGTGACATCGGAACCCAACATTGTCAGCTACAGCGCCGGGGTCACCGCATGCGAGAAAGGTCAGCAGTGGCAGCGGGCTCTGTCGCTGTTCTACGAGGTATGGGAGGTGAAGTTGGCGCCCGACGTCATCAGCCACTCAGCTGCTGTCAGGGCTTGCGAGAGAGGCGCGCAAGTGTCACAGGCGATCAGGCTGATGACCGAGACGCGGGATGCGAAGCTTGAGTCCAACGTCGGCAGTTCCATTGGTAATATCATGGTTGCGATGCGCAGGTAAGGATTAAGCAAGTTCAGCAACACTGGGAGGACCAACGCGTGCGAGAAAGGCAAGACGCCGCGGCAGGCGTCGTCGGTGCTCAGGGAGATGGCGGAAGCGATGATGGAGGCCAATGTCATCAGCTACACAGCCGGCCTCGGCGCGCGCGAGAGAAGGAGGCGGGCGTCCGACACGTTGCTGGCACGCGCTCGCACGAGAAGGGCGGGAGGTGGACGCTGTCGCTGCTCAGGAGGAGGAGGAGGAGGAGGAGGAGGGCGAGGAGGGCGAGGGGGAGGGGGAGGGGGGGGAAGCGAGGTTGGACTCACACATCGCCGTCTACAGTGTTGCCGTCGGCCCTCTGGGGGAAAAAAGAACGGGCAGGCGGAGCGCAGCAGCCTGTATACACAAGCCCGCCGACGTGGGCGGGCCCGGCGCAGCAGCGCGGCAGGTCGGCACACGCGCAGGGCAGGCCGACGCTGCGCACGACCAGGCGGCGCGCCCTGCCCCGCAGGTGTGACAGCGCTGGGTGGTGGCCAGCACCCCTGCCTCGCTTGCGCTGTGGCGTGTGTTTATCTCGGTGCTGCACAGGGCCAGAGCAGAGGCAGATCTGGCTACGGAACGATCCTGTGCTAGAGCAGGTCCCACATGGTATTCCAGGCCTTCCTCCGCCAGGTCCACAGTGCCGGTCGGCGGCAAGCAGGCAGGCAGGAGGGCGGGGGATGCCTGGAGGAGGGCGGAGGGCGGAGGGCGGAGGGCGGAGGGCGGAGGAGGACGGGGAGTGCCGCACCAGCGCCAGCCCACGCTGTGAGGCGGCGGTGGGCGGGAGAGCGGCGGAGGGCCGAGGGCGGCGGGCGGAGGAGGGCCGAGCGGGGGGGACACGGCCGCGGCCCCCAGCGCTGCACTACTGCGCGGCCGACGGCAACATCGCCGCCGCGCGGTCGCTGCTCGAGGCTCCCCGCCGGCTCGCCAGGGGCGCCGAGGGGCGCCGAAGGCCGCCGAAGGCATCGGAAGGCTAACGAAGGCCGCCTAAGGCCGCTCAAGGCCACCAAAGGCCGACGACGACGACGACGGCGACGACGACGACGACGACGACCACGACGACGACGACGACGACGACGACGACGACGACGACGACGACGACGACGACGACGACGACGACGACGGGGGGCGGAGGGGGAGACGGGCAGAAACGGAGGTGTGGGGAAGAAGGGGATGAGGACATGGAGATGGGGATGGGGATTAGCAAGAAGATGAAGGTCGAGAGCGGCGGAGGAGGAGAAGGAGGAGGAGGAGGAGGAGTAGGGACGGCCAGTGATCCGACGATCAGCCCTGGAGAGAGGGACAGAGGGTTCCGTCGGGGGAGGGGGGGCAGGTGGCTTTCGTCGACACGGCTGTCTCGGCTGGACAGCACATTGCACAGGGATGGCGTCCTGGAAGGGTCGGGCGGCAGATCTTGAGTCGCTCACCACGTGATTCGGGAGGGTCGAAACAGGTACGCAAAGGCC